ATATGGCACCTCAGTCCTGCTAAATGGGCGAGAATGGGATTTATTTACCCTCAGTCTATTCTACAACCCACGGGTTTAAGAGGCATATACTAGCCTACGTGTATACGTCTTTTATAATTCAAGCCTGGCCTACATACAAAATTTCATTGAGCCTTTGAATTGAGGACTGAGGCTATAAAAGATTTCCTTAGAACATTTCTGAATACATAATTTGAATTTGGAGTTATGGATATAGACTTCGTTAAACGTCAGTTTGGTTCAAACGTATTTTGAGAATATACTGAGAGCAGAACCGGCTCCTACGTAAAAAAATAAAAAAATATTATTTTACCCTTCCTTACCTTATAAAGAATAATGAGCAGTAAATAAGGGACACCTTTAGTCCCCAGTAAAACTTAAAAAGTTGCTAGCGGGGATACTAGTCAATATTCATAGAAAAGCAAAAATCGCTCTTACCGGCCAAGCTATAGAATCGACATCAATTTCGACTGATAGTTGGCAGTCACAAATCACGGACATCCTAGCACGGAGTGTCTATACAAATATGCCAAATAGGGCTCAAAATGTTGCAAAGGGGAAGATACCAGTCAGTAAATACTTATGAGGATATTGTCCTTTATTTAGTCACATTTAGAATGTAAAATGGAAAACTTATTTTAATTGAGTTTCTTATGAATGAAAAGATATCGTAAATTCTAGAAAAAAAATAAGTAGCTACCTACTTATATAAATAACCAACCACGCAATTACTTGATAAGTTGATAAGTAAAATCTCTTAACTGTACGAACCTGTTCAAGTTCAAGGGTACTTACTCACTTAACTAAAAACGTTAATAACTTAAATATGTATTAAAAACAAAACAATTTGTGCTAATATAATTATGTAAACTGCCACAAATTATACTCAGTATTCGGCAGGAACACTATTAAACTATCTTAATCCGAAGATAAGATCTGAACCTTTAGACCAGAAAATTATTAAAAAACTTCAATGAGATTTTAATTTCTTTATAAGTTTATTCTTTTGAATAAAGTTATTATGTTATTTGTAAAGTGGCTTAAGGGTAACAGCTACTGGGGTTTATGGTACTACTTTTACTTTATTTTAACAAGATGAATTATGTCAAAATACAATGAAATATGTTAAGAGTCTGATTCGAAATTTGTTGTCCAGACAATAATTTTACGGTTTGAGAGAGGACTAAACTTACTCTATGAGCTAATTTGCGTCAAATTAGACCTCACATCTCCATATCATAGAGTTTTAAGATTTACCTGAATATGCAATTAGTCTTACATCACTAAATAACACCATTCTACCATATGGTACAATTACAACACTAGTATTAAATAATATTACAGTTTGTAAATCAGTGTACTTTAACACTTACCTGGCCTATATTCGATAAATAATAAATTTTGAGAGGGAAATAATTAAAATACATAACGCATTTCGACACCTCCGGAATTGAATCCGATAACTTATGTTGGACTCGATAAATATTTTAATAAAGGTAGGGTGACATAATCAGCGGCAGCGGGAGCGAGTGAGATTAATCCTTTATAAATGCAAGAGATTTCTTGTGTTTAAAAGTAGAAGGCATCTTTCTGCTTTTTTGAGGGCGAAAAATCATCCAATGACTTCTCCTGCCTTTAGTTAGGCGAGAGGGAGTGTCAGACTCTTACTGACTTAAAAACCACCCCGTTCCTACTCAACCTGCCACGGTAACCTGTTAGGCCTTCCGCGGCTCTTTATCGGGAGGTATCTCAATCCTTCGAATGGTATGATGGTATGAGTGTCAAATCTAATTTACAAGACGTATTATTTATTCTCAAAATAATCACAATGAGAGACATAAGAGACTCCACTTATGGTCGTTTTCACCGATTGGGGTGGTTACCCCTGAAATATATATGATATATCTAAACTAAAAGTTACTTAGCGTGACGTAGCTCCTAAAATAACCCCTTACTTGTACCTACTTTTAAGTATTGTTTATACCTAGGTTGGGGAAAAACAAAATGTCTTAAATATTGCCTATCTTAGCCTATTTCTGAAAATTTAGGAATAATTAATGAAAATGGGCATTGGATATTGCTAGCCTATATTACAAACAAACAGTATTTTTAGAAGTTAATGACATAATTTCCTTCAGAAAAAAAATACTATTATAAAATCTAAAATCGCTTACACAGACGCCACGCCTCATCACATAACAAAATCATAACTTAACTCCAAACTAGAAATGAAAAGCAATCTCAGTCGCTTAGATATTGTTATCTAAAATGAATTCAATAAAATAACATAACATAAGAATTATATTTGCCTTATTATAAAAAGCCGTGTGTAAAATACTAATTTCATCGTCCCTGCTCTTCCCGTGGTTGAGTAAGGAGTCGGCCAAGGAACCATATATTTGATATACAATAGACAGCAGCGTTTTTTTGATAAACCGAATGCCACTACACAATTACTCTACCATCCCCAATCAGGTGTGGCGATTATGTCAAAGATCTCTTAGTCAAGAAGGCTCATAGTCTAGCAGTGTATAATAATATTTTCAAAATCGCTGATCCAGGCAATGTGCCTTGAGCCTGTAGTTCAATAATTCCAAGAACTCTAGGAGTACGTCTGAACACTGTATCAGGTTTCTCGGAAAATCATCTTACACAAGCTGTAGACGTGGTAGAACAATCTCGTACCTGATTAATTGAATTATACATGATTCTGTTTCAAAGTAAATACATGAGAATATTTCTATAACATAACATAACATACCATAAATAGTGAAAAGTGGGTGTTACATTGTACAGTGGCATAATGTGCACCTATTATATATATTTATGTTATGAGTCCCATGTAATAGGGGGTGAGCCTATTGCCATATACCGGGCACAATTCCAGACTCCGTGCTACTACTGAGAATTTTTTAAAAACCCAGTAAAACTTTGCCCGACCCGGGAATCGAACTATTTCTATAGTTGAATGTTATTGTAGGTAAAGATTTTTATTCCTGAAAATTCAAGTAATATCATTCGGAAGCTGGCCCTGTTTATAGCGGCTCTTATAAAATACATGAGATTCATTACAATATAAGCAGATATAGTCGACAATGCACTCAGGATGCTTCTGGTGTTCCAATTTACTTATTCAATATTAGGTTACTTATTCACAATCAAAATGATTACTTACCATACCACGATGGCCAAACAAATGACAAGGCCACGGCAAACGAGCTTTGTTGCTTACGCCCGAAGTACTCAATTTTAAGTTGTAATTAAATATCGTGCCATCTCTGTCATTTTACAAAGAAATTGTAGTGACAGAACTACTTGCGCGACTTATAATTGAGTAGCATTTCAGTATTTCATCTTAGTAATACAAAAATCATAAGACTTGTTAGCAAAGAGACGGTACCACTGACGTATTTATCCATTTATCAAAACCGCTATAGCTTTAAAAATATATTACTTTTACAACAAAATACTCTCATTTTAAAAGTAACAAAACTTTTTTTTTATTTTACGACCCGCCCCGGCTTTGCACGAGTATATATTATGCAAGTATTATACATTTAAACCTTCCTTAAAAAACACTCTATCTTTTAAAAAACCGCATCAAAATCCGGTGCGTAGTTTTAAAGATCTAAGCATACATAGGGACAGACGGCGGATAGCTACTTTATTTTATACTATGTAGTAATATACGGTACCGAATAATAAAATACTTGTACCTATCAATAAATGAAAAAAAAAAATGCTAGTGGCACCGTTCTTTACTCGCAAATGTATACTCCTCAATCTACCCTTGCATTAGATTTTAAATTTCACTACCGCAGTATACCAGCACATAGACAATCTAGTTGAGATGCAACCGTTATAGGTACTACCTAATAGTATGGATAAGCCAATGACCTTGACTCAGTGTGTCTGGCTTCTCGCCCACGATTTTACCATTTAAGTAGGAGTTTTCTTGCTACTATTTTCATGTTATTTTTTCTTGTTTTCCTCACAGACCTTGTCCTTGTAATCTCATGTTTCTATAAACACAAGTTTCTTGGGAAGTTTCGATGAATATAATCATTTTAGGTAAAAACGATTAAGTAATTTGTTTGTATATAAGGTGCCTTTACGTACTTTAACTTCCTACGTAAGCCACGCATTTATTTAATGGGTACTGAAACCAAAGAGAGCTGCCTACTACGATATTTATCTATAAAGTATACTGAATGTTGTTTGAACGAATCTTAATTAAAAATGAATTAATTCTACTTCAAATAATAAACAATCTTTTCAATTCTCTCGAATATTACAACCTCATGCCGTGTTCAGTTATCATTCGTTCCAATTCCCAAGTAGTATAATTATTTTTATTATTGAAGTACTATCCAATTCAATATTTGCAGTTAAAAGACGAGGAACGTACGTCCTCCACCCGCAACCAGAATCCCATTCATATATTTTAAATACCACTCACGATGCGAACGCTCACAGCGTTGATATAATTACGACGCTCATAATTATCGCAATGTACGAGGTGCATTGCTGTTTCAATAACAAGCAGAGAGAGCGCTATACTTGTCACACACTCAATGTACACTAAATTAACGTAACGAACATAAATTTTATACAAATGACAGTTACACGTGTTGTTTCCATAAATGTTTCTTTTGATCATAACTTTAGAACGTCGGTAGGTTTTATTTAAGATTTTATGAGAGCGAAATTGCCCTCGAGGATTTCAAAATGTAATTAAGTCAAGTGTAGTTAGTTAATTTTATAATATTATTTTACTGGCGCGGCGCTGGGGAAAACTTTATGAATAAATAATTTCAATAATTTTATGTTGGTATATTTTTCGCGAGATTTTCATGCTCGAGTTGATTCTATAATTGTGAAATTGACACTCTCTCCGATTTGACATTAGGCTTTCTAGACTTGATTGGTGAGATAATACTACAAAGAAGAGGTCTGTGGTTTGATTGGAACAGAAGTGAAACTTACCTGAAATAATCATTTTTGCAGAAAATGTTGCTGTCTCTGGCGTAGCACCGCTGTTCCGAGTCGAGGGGCATTTTGCACTCGCAGCATTTTAGACAGGGTGTATGCCAGCGGCGCTCTAGAGCCAGAAGGTAGTATCTGTCGGTGATACGGCCGCCGCAGCCGGCACAAGCGTCTTCAGGGGGAGGTTGGGGCGTTTCGTCCGGGGGTTCCCTCTTGCGACACGAGGTGCAGTCACGCGGTGAGCCAGGGGAAGTCGCGGGCGCGACAGGGGACAAGTCGCCGCCCCCCTCGTACGCCGACGTTAGGTATCTCTCACTTTGTTGCTGAAACAACAATAAAAATTTTAGATGACAAATTCACTCTTGGGGAGTCCGAGCTTTCGAAACTCCCCTCTTTACTATAGTTGTATCTCAATAACGTTACGTATGCGACTACAATAGTTTTATAGGTAAAAAATCTGTAAGAACCAGTGAAACATTTGTATTCAAGCTAATTTCATGCCACCACATAAAGCCATAAAGGGCACGGTTTGATTGCATTTACAACATAGAAATTTATATCCAACATTCAGTTACACACAGATTTTTTTTTTAAGTAATTAATACTACACGGCATTTTAAAATACTCGCTTAGAAAAAACGTTCAATTAACAAAAGAAAAAGATTTAATACACGGATTTCGTTGTAAATAATAAATCCAAAGAACAATCCTAAATAATAATGGCCGTAATAAAAGTGTTTTGTATCCCTTAGCTATGTCTGAACCCGACTTAACCCTACTTTGCGTCTGGAACACGGATTATGTTTTCCTCCGGTAGAAAAACCATCATTACCGTTGCCCCTACAAATAATGATCGGGCCCCTAAACTAGAATTAATAAATTGTTATCAAACAGAAAAAGATATATATACTTCACTAATTAATGCGAATAATCCCCTTTAAATAACCTTAGGAAAATGTTTTTGTTTCCCAAGATATATAGGTGATTTATAGGTTTTTTGCATAACAAGAAATAAAATAAAAAGCCGTGAGTAACTACAATATCTGATCGATCGATCAAAGTACAGCTAAGTTATAAACGTCATAATTAATTTATTAATTTTCATAGTAAAAAATGATTTGTACTAACGAACAGTAATTACGTTGCACTACTAATTTATCGATATCGAAGCTGAGTATAGGTACATCAGTGTAGTGTAGGTACTTACGTCGCCTACAAGCTTGGTCTTAGGAATTCAAGGTTCATGATAAAATAATGTTCATATTATATACAAATATGTATAAATATTAAACAGTAACAGATATCTGAATGTTTGCATAAATTCAAGGAATTAAGTTGGCACTAAGGTTGGGTCACTGGGCAATGTTGTCTTTGATAAACAATGCCCTTTAAATAAATAAAAAAAAGAACTGAGATAATTGTGTATAGAATATATTCTATTTACTTGGCCTTATGGTCGAAATTACAGTTAGAAGTAAGATCTTTTGGGTACCTATGTTAAAATTAGCAATAATACTCGTAGGTATATCTGCGCTAGTTTCGTACTGACATATTATGATTATGACTGCCTCGTTGGCCCAATGGTCGCAAGTGCGACTACCGGGCAAGTGGTCTCGGGTTTGATTCCCGGGTCGGGCAAAGTATTTCTGGATTTAAAAAAAAATCTGAGTAATAGCACGGAGTCTGGATATGTGATCGGTATTTGGCAATAGGCTCACCCCCTATTACATGGGATTCATAACATAAATAGTGAAAAGTGGGTGTTACTTCTATGTGTACCTCTGCCTACCCCTTTGGAGATAAAAGGCGTGCTGTTATGTTATGTTATGTCCAATTACATAATATACATACAAGAAACCTTACAGAAACACGTAAAGCAAAAAGATGGAACATTTTTTTTACTTATTTTTGTTAGCTCCATAGATTAATTATTGCACATACATATTTCAACCAAAAACAACGATGATAAAAATATTATAATAACCCACACACGTGACAGATATATTAAGGATTTTACAACCTATATAAAGCAATATTTTAACATAGAAATAATGTATTTATATTACCTGGTCGACATGGCATCACTCGGCAGTCAACACTTATAAAAACCTGCTCCGATGTTATCATAACATTAAGAAAATGTTGCCATTAAAAAACAGATATATAAAGAATTATATAATATAATTACATAACATAGTATTATATTAATATCACATGTGGTATTCCCCAATTTTCTTCCACTACAAAGCTTTGCCACTACTTAAATTTCCTGCTGTATCCCGGACGTGTTTTCAAAATAATTACTGTATGAAAATACATCGGGATTTAAAGAAACTCATTTGTGAATCACTCGAAGAATTATTTCGTACGAAAAGACTCATTAAAAGTTAGTAGGTAGACATATTTAAATACTGCGTTGATTTATAAGCCCCAATGTAAAACAGGGCACAATTCAATACCCTCTGTTAATGTAATTAATTCTTGTTCCGTAATCAATATAATTTACCAATATACTACCTTTATTAAAAAAAAATAGATATACATAATATTTAGCCTCAAAAAACCTCTTCACTTCAGCGAACGAGACAAAAGAGAGAGAGAGAGAGAGAGAGAGAGACAAGAAATCTTTACGAATAAAAGCAAAGGTTTGCTGATTTATTTACATTATTGTAGCTGCGAAACTACTTGACAAATTTGAAAATTCTTTCAATTTTGGAAAGCTTACTCTGAAAGTAATACACATACTTTTTATACTGATATTCGTACAGGATAAGAGTTAGAGCCATATCGATTATTATTCTGCATAGAAGCCACATGCATAGATTATGAGGAGAGAAAATATTATTTATCCACGATAGAAGTGGTTAGAACACTCCTAAGCTAACACTTACCGCCCACAGCTAGGCGTCGCCCCTTATATACAATGTAGTGAGCAGACCCCTCACTATGAGGGAGACAGGCCCCCTACAAATGAGATATACTCAATCGTTAACATTAAGACGGTAGACATTTTATGTTGCAGAGGAAAAATATTATACATTTATGTACAACTAGCTTTTACCCGCACCTTCGCTCGCGTCACAAAAGGATAAAAAGTAACCTATGTGACATATACCAATACACATAGCGCCATCTATACCAATTCTTTTGTTTTCCCTTGGAAATATCAAAGTTTTCCGGGATAAAAAGTACCCTATTATTTAAACCGGACTTCTAACTTTATGTCTGCAAAATTTCAAAGCAATCGGTTTAGTAGTTACGGCATGAAAGCGGAACAAACTCACTTTCCGATTTATAATATTAGTAAGGATATCAATTCATACGGCTTCCATTGCCATAGTAATATATGGTGTTTTTACTTTATACTGTCGTAAGAAATAACTGTCCAAGGCAATATTTAATATGTCTTTCTGATTTTTAGGCTGCGTCCTTGATGGAATTCTCTCCAATGAATAGCTTCGGGAGTTAATAGTTTAGTTTCAATACATTTTTGTGTAGACCCTGATTTTGATAACATTTTGTTACAACATTATACTTAGTTATCAAGTAGTAATATCGCTCGATAATAATTGGGTACCTAATTGCCAACTAGTCAAATTCAATACTTTTTTCGAACTGTCTAAAACGACAGTTTTCTATAAATTTTGTATGAGATTGTGTATTGTGACGTCGCGTTTTTTAGCGTCAAACAGCATTTCTTTACTTATTTCTAATTAATTCGCTGGAAATATAATAAAATTAAATTAGGCACATGAAAGTGTGTTATTTTTTAATATTTTATTGTATTGAACAGTCGAAATAATTAATTTTGGATGAAGGCAAGTACTCGATTATGTATGTATATAGCAAAGAGTTCGCAACCACGTGCAGACCCAACTATAATGCTACATATACACTCTCGCGCGAGTCGAGACGACGCCGAATTACATTGACGTTATTATAGATGAGTTGTAGTCCTTCTCGCATTATAAGACTGTAATGTACCTCAACCTCGTGTCGCTCGCGCGAGAGTGTGAATGTAGCATAAGAGATCATTATTCAAGATCGACGGAAAAAATAAACAAACGACCATCAAAAAATAGTAGCCTAACGGCTAATTCATGTAAATAGAGAATTATAAAACTAACAGTCGCTGTAATTTGTGTCTATACCTATTTGTATTAAAATTGCAGTTAAAGTCTAATATATATTCTTATATCATTTTATATTATCTAGTTACAACGTCATTATATGATGCTTTTAATCCTGTTAATGTATAAAATGATGAGTTTCAGTCTACACTTTACATAAATTAGTGCTAATTCGTATTATGTCTATTTTCGTGTGTCTATGACTAAGACTGAAACCGTAATCAAGTTAGGTAATGTTTGATGTGTGTTTAATAATGTGTCGTAGATGTGATTTCCAAACGAAATCAATCTTAGTGACATATAGAAAAGTGTGAATGTATGTTTGTATGCTTTAAGTACTCTGCTTCCTCATTGGAGAATAACAAACCTAGTTTTATATAGGAGATTTAAAATATATAACATAACATAACATCATGCCTTTTATCCCCGAAGGGATAGGCAGAGGTGCACATTATGCCACTGTACAATGTAACACCCACTTTTCACTATTTATGTTATGAGTCCCATGTAATAGGGGGTGAGCCTATTGCCATATACCGGGCACAATTCCAGTCTCCGTGAGACTACTGAGATTGTTTTAAAAACCCAGTAATACTTTGCCCGACCCGGGAATCGAACCCGAGACCTCTTGCCCGGCAGTCGCACTTGCGACCACTCGGCCAACGAGGCTGTCAGTAATGCCTTAAATGAATTATTCAAACTTAGCGTCAATTTATCCTTGACTAAACCAACACAATCACTGTAAATAAACAGATCGATGAAGAATTTTAATTAAACTTATACCAAGTTAAAAATAACACGGTATTGGTGAACTTAAACTGGAGCCCTTGAACCGAAGGCCCAGAAATCGGAAACGCCCTTCTCCGGCCGCCCGAAAAAGGGGCACCCCCACTCCCACCCTCTAACTTTGTAGAAGCGTAATTAACCGACTTATAAATGTCGTAATATTGTAGTAATGTTTATTTTAAGAGCTAAGCTTAATTTGGAGAAAATTTTACTTTGTTACGTATTAAAATGTAATTTTATCTTGATTATGTAGTTTTGTTAGCCATCTACTACTCAACCCTTGTTAGAAAAGTCTTTGTAGTAAAATCTAATAAGAATAAAGTTCGATGGTGATTTTGCCCACCCCCATAGAACAAATATGTCACATTGTTAAAGGTCTTTAATTCATCACAACAACAAACATCAGTCATCAATACAAACGAAAATATTTGTAAATGTTTTGCATTCAGTACTAGTGGCGCCATCTCGTTTTGCACTGAATAAATGCTTGCGAATATAACCCTGCACCCACCACTGCGCTTTCAATAAAACTCGAATCTGACCAAATAATAAAATGTATTGATAGATAGAGGACGGTAAAAGCGAACGAAATATACAGCATACATTTATCAATCTGATGCAGCCATCACATCCCGCCACCCTTAACCATTAATACATTTTCAAATTTATCGCCAAAAAATAAGGTTGAAAATCTATTAGCAAAAGACATCAGACTTTGGGCAATGTCTGTACATGGAGAAATAAACCTAATTACGTAAGGATGCGTCTATCTCTCAGCCACAAAATGAACCGTACCGTTAAGAAATATTAGCTTACGACCGTCTAAGAACGTCCTTAAGTAAGTACATTATGTTCCAAGTACTGGCTGGGCAAGCTTCCTCGATCCGTTGCAGTCTATTTTTACTAGCACGTTATTACGTCAGGGGGTTGCAACCCATCCCTTTCACCTCAATCCAAAGATCTTTTCACACTCCTCCCCCCACGAGAATGCTCGGCCTTAAGGCCACATAGATACAGATATACCGTATCTACAAGGCTGCAGGGATATAAAAAAAGAGTACCTTCTTGGTCTAGGGGTCGAGAGCGTAATTATTATTAAAGAATAAGGTTTAGTATTAAACGACGGCCGGCGATCTGGGGAGGTTCGTAGTCGTTCTTTGAATTTTAATATTAAAATATTGAAGGCAAATAATTTTCTTCTAACTGTTGTTTCGATGTTTCAATCGTTATTCTGCTATTTGAGACGGCCGGCTGATCTCCAATTATAAAGAGCGTAATTCACATGACTTTGATTTATAATTACACACCAGTTTTAGAACTGATTTCTTATACAAAATCGATAATATTTTCAGTGAAACACCGCCTGATACTAAAGAGGGCACCCATAGTGGTAAATTCGAGAAAATGTATCATCATAGAGAGGAAAGCTAACCAAGATATACTATGGTTCTTAGAAAAAAACTGTGTTTAGTTTGTATGAATGATTTTTGCACGTCTAGACGCTGGTAATCTGTAGGTCAAGAAGTTCAGTAAGGTGAGGTCGTATCTCAAGTTATCACAAAGATTTAGAGCTAGGTCGCTTATTGTCTGCCGCGGTTACGTAATATAAATATTGATTATGTACTGCGCATAACTTGTTATTTAGTTTAATTTATACAGAGTGGCTCGTTTACAGTGCTCTAAAGATTTTTCCAGCTTGCGAGCATCATGAGTGAAAACTTATGGTTTATTTTTCTCAAACGAATTCGATATTTAAATTTTTGACACAATATCACTATGTTAAAAGGTACTGGACCGAATCTAATGGAATTTTGTATTGACATAGTGCAATAACCTACCTATTGAGCTACAGGCTACCCTTATATAAATAATTAGACAGGTTCTTTATATTGAAATGTCGGATTAGTTCCGAAATAAAATTATAATTTCTTTTGCTGAACAACTCCACTTTTAATAATCACTCATGATGTTCTCAAGCTGAAAAATCTTTGGACCGCTGTAAACACGCCATCTTGGAAATTTTTTTTTAAGGGAGGAAAATCATCAAATTGCTTCTCCCGCCTAGGTGAGGCGGAAGGGAATGTAAGACTCTTACTGACTAAAAACCACCCCGTTCCTTCTCCTGCGCTTCGAGCCAGAGCCCCGGTAACCCCGGTTCTCCGCGGCTCCATCCTGGACATTAGAATTACTTTAAAACTTGTGTAGTCGATTTATATCGATTATAGTTAAAGAAGGCAGGGATAATGTGTATACTAATATAAGTGGCATGTAGTTTAGGGATGGGGCTAAGAAAAACATTAAAGTAGCATTTGTTTTGTTCTACATTATATTTTGTTTAATATCATAGCAGCTATCAAAACATGCATAAGAAAGACATACCTAATTAACTTCTGATGAGAATATTTATTTCATACAGTTCAGAAGTTGGATTTTGTGTAATCTGGTTTTATTGCTGGTGCTACGGCTTACCATAACTAGCAAAATATCTTTATTCGTCTAATATGGGAACGTAAGAATAACTAATAATATATTAGCTTTTAATATCTTTCTGTTTTTGTGTGTACTTAAAAATCAAAGAACGTTTCTTAAGCCCAGCTTATTTTCTCTCGCCATTATTTTACTAATTCCATGTTACAAGTGCTAACAATAATAATATTAAATATGCTTTTACAATAACTGTGTCAAAAAATATTTATTATTTAATTAGTCTTTCTTATCGTCTACAGTTCTACACATACGTTTTGTCCGTTGAGTAAACAACGAATATTCAAAGCGTATATATTTACCGCATATATTCCAATATTCTTGAACTCATATCAAGCCAATATCAGTAAAAACATAAGGATATACCACACCTAAGTATTGAGTCACCAAATACTAATTTGCGTATATTGTTCATGAATTAGAATTATATCAGAGGATAATTTATTTGTTGCCAACATATTTCGTATTATAAAAGTTAATATGTAATTATTAATAACATAACATTTTCCTCATTCAACTATAGGTTCTATAAATAATTAAAATAACGAACTTTACGCGCATAGATGTTTACGTAAGTACAGGAGTGCAAATAACGGCTTTATAAATAACATGACTTGAATGAAATTTTACAGGAAAAAGAATATAAAATGTAATAAAAAATTCAAAATTATTATCTCATTTACTAATTTATAATTTAGTGTGGGTGGGTAGGCTTCATCATCATCAACAGCCTATAAATGCCTACTGCTGAGCAATGCCTCTTCTCGCACGGAGAAGGTTTGAACATTAATCACCAGCTTACTCAATGCGGGTTGGCGATTTCAAACTTATAACTAGAAATTATAAGCCCAGGTTTCCCCACGATGTTTTTCCTTTACTGTTTGTCAGTGGTGTTTAAATAATCTTAGAAAGTACATATAACTTGTAAAAAGTCACATTGGTATTTGCCGTTGGTACCTATTTTTTAATTATTGACGATAAAATAAATTAAAATTAAACTTAAAATTCCTATTTAAGCCGAAAACATAATAATTTATTTAGTATGTCTCACGAAAGTTGCAATACAAATAAATTTAAAAGTTTTAAATTGCTTTAGTACCTAATAATTGAAACTTACCTAAATATTTTAAAAGTTCCGACGGCACATTCTCTATTCATTTGAAGCACGAAAAGTGCAAAATTCTACTTCAATATCTTATTTATTTTTATAAATATCATGATAGAACATCATACTTCCGTAACCCACGCTACTTACTAGATACTATTTTAATAGAACGTCGTACACTAAAATAACAATTTAAGTTTCCTATTTCATTTACCCATAATATGAGCTGTACTACAATAATATAGTTTGCAACTAAGCGCATCCCTACACCACGAAACTGGATCTAACAAAGGAATATTGTAGCAAATTATTATCAAATGAGCACAATTTTGGTTTTAATTAAGTCGTAAATTAGACTGCAGGCATACCGCAATTATAACATCACTCGGTCTACAAAAGCTTGAACTAAAACATTAATATGAGAGTTCGAATGTTTGTTAATTATTTACGCTAAAACTGCTGAACTTATCTGAATGAAATTTGATTCAGAGGTAGGTTTTAGTCTGGAACAACACATTATTTCCGAATTAAATGTCCCTGTAGAATATTTTTCTTTTACCACGTTGGTGCAACTGGTGAATCAGCCGATAGAGCAGAGACATGCGAAAACGACTAATAAGACCTAAATGAAATTTATTACGGACACAGATATATGTATATCGGCTGTGATAGGCACATTATATTCCTCAAAATACAAAATGGCAATGGAAATAAATGTTTACGTAAAAAACGTCGCGTGAAACACTAGTAGCTTTATAAACACCAAACATTAATGTATCAAGCATTCAATTCAAAATAGAGGTTCGATGATAACTACATTTCGTATAAAATACGTTGTACAGTAGCCTACGGTTGTACAGTGACCACTAATTGCATACAAAATGTCGGCCTCAAAACAAGCGCGAGGATTAAAACTGGGAACCATTTTAATTACACCTGCGAAGTGTAATTACAAAATAATCATTTTCAATATTAATGCTAAGGGAATATTGGACGGTTCATTTAGCTTGGAGAACGAAATCCAAACGATTATTTAAATCATACAAGTTAATATATTTTAAACGCTATTTAAAATATGTTTAGCCGTTAACTGGCGGTTTGTTTCAGTATGTGAATTTCTGAGTATAGACTAGACACGAATGAAACTAATTGGTGACAAAATAACAATATGGCTTGATCTGTCTATCAACATAGCCTATCAGATGACGAGTCTCCTAGTTCCTGCAATCTGCCTGTGGCTATAGGCCTTTTGTACTTACGAGTGTTTGCCATGATCTCTGCCTCTAGCAAAAGGGTTTTTTTTTTAAGGGTGGAAAATCATCGAATGACTGCTCCCGCCTGGGTGAGGCGAAAGGGAGTGTCAGACTCTTACTGACTAAAAACCACCCCGTTCCTTCTCCTGCACGTCGAGCCGGAGCCCCGGTTACCCGTTAGGTTCTCCGCGACTAGCAAAAGGGTTGGCGATTGCAGTTAAAAAGGTGAATACATATTTAACAGTCTTCCAAATGTATACCATAATTGGCTCTTGTTACAGTTGCAAGAACAGCAGTGTCACTTGTATTCTACTCTCCCATAACCATACGGCTCAATTTCCCCGTACCATTATCTATCTAGTATAATAAGCGTATACATACACACATACATAACCTCATGCCTGTCTCACATGGGGGTAGGCTGAGACTATGAAACGTCAGTTGCTCTTATATACCTCTCTCGCTTCCAACAGTCGTATAATAATAATTTATACTTATAGTATAGTGCGTATAATAATTTCATAATACGTAAATCATAACATCACGCTATTTATCTCCGAAGGGGTAGGCAGAGGTGCACATTATCTACGGCACTTAATGCCACTGTACAATGTAACACACACTTTTCAATATTTATGTTATGAGTCCCATGTAAAAGGGGGTGAGCCTATTGCCATATACCGGGCACAATTCCAGACTCCGTGCTACTACTGAGATTTTTTTTTAAACCCAGTAATACTTTGCCCGACCCGGGAATTGAACCCGAGACCCCTAGCCTGGCAGTCGCCAGACCACGGCCAACGAGACAATCATTTCATAATACGAGACATATTATTAAAAACATACAATTATAGAAACAAAATCCAATATCTGAAATGGACGTCATACACAAAAGTTGCACGAACAAAATTAAATTGCAAAATGAAAATGTATTTTGCAGTTACATATTTCAGGATTTATAATAAAATGTTGTATTAAAATAAATTCTTCTCTCATATTTACAGTGTTAATTTCAGTGTCGAGTTAAATGCTTTAAACTGCTTCATTTAATGTTCAGTTACATTTTCAGTCATGTTTCATGGAAAAAGAATAACAGCCTGTACCTAGCCTTTACATCTAGAAAAAGAGCCTTTTATATCTAGTTTTTTATTGGAGTTAGACATAGCTTTACACACTTTTGTATCTTTTTCTCTCTCCGGCGTTCGCCGTTTTAAATATAAATATTTAGATACTACGACCATACTAAATGTAATTTTTATTTTGTATTCCTTTCAAAAGGACTGCATTTATTTTTGAATTTATTTTACTTTAAAAGTATAATTATGTAACTAAATATTATTTAGAATCGGCGGTAGAATATCAAGAATGACTGCCGATCAAGAGATCTCGGTTTCTATTCTCGGGTCGGGTAAAGTATTAAATCTGTTTTATACATTTAATAATTATACATCACATACAGTCAGTTATATCTTTAATGTCTATTAATATATTATTACCGCAGATTTACAAACCCATAATAAAAAAAACATCATAATATAAATAGAAAAATGGGCCTCATAACAATAAATGCGCCTCAATTAGGTCTCTGCAAACTCCTTTTGTAACTAGCCGCAATAGTAGGCCATCTTTATAATTCTAATAACTAAGTTACGGTTTTAAAACATTCTAATTGAGTTTTATATGCAGGTAATATTTTTATTGAAGTAAAATTGTATCATGGAGTTTATATCGTGAGCAAAATCCTAGTGCCTAAGTTCTCTTCATAAAATCTTAGTGCTTATCATCTTTCGTTTAAGATCTCAATTCCAGACTTTATTATTAATCAGATAGGCCTTTTTAATACTTGCTTCGTAAAGTAATCTGTAATACATAGCCTTTTATAACGGCCGCCTGTTTTTTCTGATAGCCAACGATTTGTTATTTCATGAAATTGTGTAGGTAAATACTCTTAAATGTATTTGAGTTACATAAATAAACGTCTATCGATATTTTGTTTACCACAAAACAATATAGAGGATGAATTGTTGCAAGTAAGCAGTGCCGTGTTCTACGAAACCCACGATTAAATCTTGATGTCGAGAATCATCTCCATATCGGTCAAAGGCGTTCACTGCCGTATGTTCGGCTTCCCCAAATAAGAAAAATATACTTAATCAGAATGTCGGAAATATAACAATAAATAAATATGCTTTTCGCAACTAAGCGGTATAGGGATTATAACTTGAATGTCATAATTACGGTACCTGGATAACCGAGATTGGTGTTTTTAGTATACGAGATTTTTCGAAAATAAAACCTAGTTAGATCGATTTATCTCGCCCCAAAACCCCTAAGGCTCTAGACAGAAGAACTGCATTTCAACTGCAATCCAACCACAAATTGCAGTTCTATTGCAGTCAAAATTTAATACCAAATTTCAAGAAAATCGTTGAAACCATTTCCGAGATCGTTGATATTATATTTAATATAATATTAATAGTAGTATCACTTATACCGTGTTGGCCTCGGACTGGCGAAATTGAACTTGAACTGGCCTGTTGATATTATAGGTAATACTCTGAATAGCTATTCAGAACGGAGAATAGAAAAGGTGTCAAATGTCAACTACATATTTAGTCTTACTAGGTCTGTGTGCTACAGTCGATCGATTGTCTGTATTATTTAAATCATCTTTGTAAGCCTAAAAATATCAACGGCAAGACCAATTTTACTACCAATTTCTACTCAAATCAAATAAATTGTAATGTTACAAATCTCATGATTGAAGTTTTAGATTTTTGTTTTTTTTTTTTATTTTGTTGGTTGTGTACAAAATATTTTTCCTGTAACAGATTTGGAGAGAAATAATCCAACAGGAATATGCAGTATGTCATTAAAGTTATCCTGTGTGGTGAATATGTGTTCAAAAGTAAATGAAACCTATAAGATTAATTTGGCGTGCTAAATATATTTGTGCTTTATTAACTTTATTAACTTCATATTAAATTATCTATTAAATGAAGACCTATATAGTACAACTATTATTTAAGATTTCTTATAGAGGCTCTCTTTCTAAGTGGGTGGCGATCCAGGCACTTTATAGGGCGCATGGCTATTTGTATGCATTTCTTTTCATTTATATATCAATCATATTTAATTGTGGTTGTGGAATTAAAAAAGAATTAAACAGAAGAATTGATATGTAGTGAAACATGATTTAAAAATTTTAAATATCTTGTATTATGATTCAAAACTAAACAGTCCATTGTTAGGCTACAGGCCTCTTTCTTACCCAAACCATGGGTTTGTTATAATCGCCACGCTTGGCCGATGAGTTGACATAATGGCCAATCCTAATGGATTTAAAAGACCAAATCAGAATGTACGAAACTGCAAAAGAATTAAATAGAATAATCTGCCTTCTTTACTTTATGAACCTAACACAAATAAACAAGTACTTCTTCTTTATAATCTATCTTTCATAATCCAAACACGGCTACAAAATATGTAAGCCTAGTATAAAAGATATTTGGTACGCAAAGCCGGTATCTATCAATGTCGATCAGTATTTTGTACTATGGGTATTATGACTGACAAACGATGAGCTAGATAACCCAACCTCTGACCCTAGCCGTGTTTAGGCTAGGCACAATAGAAGTACCTACATCTACTTGTATCATCTTTGTTACTATGTTGCTTGTAAAATATCAGCCTATACAAAATTATATTTCAAGGTTCTTTTTGTTAGTGCCTGCAAAACATTACTTTAGATCTTGAGTTTGGAGTTATGATAGTCTTTATGTATTATAGAAAAAAAGGAGTTGTTTGATAGTATGATACCTGTATGGTGGGAGTGGAAAAATAATTTATATTAATAAATATTAAAATATTAATTTTCGTTCGTTAGTCCCGCTAAAACTCGAGAACGGCTGAACCGATATGGCAAATGTTGGTCTTTAAATGTTTGTGGAAGTACAGGGAAAGGTTTAAAAGGCGAGAAATTTTTTTTAGGCGATATCAAGTTTGTAGGTCTACTAGTATAAAATAAAAGAAGACTTGTATAAATAACGTGGGAGACAAATAGAGAAGAAGGAGACTATAGACTTGCCTCTTTTATTATATTACTGTATACTAATTTAAATTACCATAAATACTTATTTAGTAAATAGTAAAGTAGGTATTAACATAGGACTTCTACATGGAAATTATATTTCTAGAATATTATCTACTAATGGTGTTAACTAGTCATCTAAGACGGGCGGCGCTAGTTGCCTTGCCATGCGCCAGCGCAGCCCGTTATATCTTTTGATCTAACATTATTATATTTTTTTATAAAATATAATTTTAGTATTGTATAAAAAAAGTATTTTTATACTGTATTTTTCTCATTGCTTATACCTAATATAGTCAATATTTTCCTGTAAATATTTTTTTCATCTGTAAAGATATACATTTTACCTGCATTAATTTTAGCCTCATTTATTGATTAGTATTCCAATAAATGTACGTATTTTAAATGAAGAGATATTTCATTATCATTTATTTCCAATAAGTTAATAAATAGTGTTTAATGATATTGAAATATTTATATTTTATAGCAATATCTTTTAATGCGAGATGCATTTTCCTATACATTTTTTTTATTAATATAAATATACTTGAATAAATACTGTAAAGAATAAATAAATTTTTAATTCTATTTCATTATTTTTTCATCTTCTACTTAATTGTAACCATATATGGTAGAGTATACTCTTAAAATCTTATGATATATGTTATTGAAAACTTTTGTATCATTATTTTTAGTTAGATGTACTGAAGATGCGCACGCGCATAGATCAGTTCTCTCCAACTTCTCCAACTAAGAAAAAAATTCTTAAAAAAAAAATTATATTTAAATTTAATAGTAAATAGAATATTATTATTACTAATGGTATGAAGCAAAATATTGGAAGCTCAACTACAATTTAAATAAATAATTACAAAATATATTGTACGATGATAGTGCAAAAATGCAAAAAAAACATTACATTTTAAATAATACAAGCCAGTTCGCGACATAATATAGCTTGTATATTGCAATTGCAATGCTTAAAGCGTGTATAAAAGCATTTTATAAGGACGTGCGCGTGCGCATGTGTGCTTAAAAGTCGTTAAATTGTATATAATTTTTAATGCACGCATAAAATAAGTATAAAATATGATTTTCATCCTATGTAGGCCTTGTGTTTAAAGAAAAATAAAAAAAATGGATAAATATTTTGATGTCTTTAATAATTTTAAATGCTTCATATTTTACAGCTATTGATTTGTTGCTAACGGCTTTTTATTTTTTACTATTTATTTGTTGCTTTATTCAGAATTCCTATTTTTAAAGATCCATTTGTAGGAGAAATATGTTCCCGAGGTTATTATAACTTGTTAAAGGATCCCAAAACTTTATAACTATCGACTTAAGATAACTCATACTCCTTATTACACAATAAGAAGTATCCTATGTATAAGATATCTGTGCCTACATACATCTATGTTTATATACAAGGTTTTTATACAAGTTTGCTTATCTCTTTTCAATTACTTCACCTAATAAATTGTTTATTCAATTAAAAATAATAAATTTCCTTTTTTCTTGTTATAAAATAATTATAACCGGGAATGAAATTGAATAACTCTTCGTATTTTTATGAGACTTCGTATAGTTTTTATAGACCTCGGTGCATGTAAATTAAAATAAAAACTCCATACAATATAATTAAAGAAAAAAAAATAGAATGCAATCTAATACATAAGTGGTGCACTACGTGTAATTATTTAAAAAACTATATGATTGTGCTTCAAGTAAAAAAGTAACGTATAAAAGTTTTGAAAAAGTAAAATAACTTTTATGACATAAACAAATTTTTGAGAAAAAAAATATTATGAGAGTGCCGTACCCAGTGCATCGTCCCCCTCTCCTCGTATACTCCCATCTGGGGTTCAATTTTTTCGTTTGCTATTTTCGAATGTATGGGCCTTTGCCCCACAACACTGCAGCACTCACTCGCGATACATGCGTGCGATCTATGTCGCTGCCGATGCGCAACTAACTCAAGCAGTTTGCCCCACCAGAGAAGGAGGGACGACCCGCCCAAGTCAACGCCCCTCCCCCACTAAGATTAACTTTTTTTTAAATCTGTTTACGAATTTTTTTCCGCCGTTTAAAGCATTTCGGCGCAATAAATGCCTGCAATTTTTTCACTCGGTCATTTGTACCGAAAAACTTTATAGCTACGAGTCGCAATTGTAATAAAATTATCATATTGTTTGGATAGTTTTACGGTGATCACTTTTTTTCTTTAATTCATATGATATTGTTATAGTAAATGCGTGGCGGGAAGAATGAAAGGCTGTACTGTAGATAAATTAATTGGTCTAGTGTTTTATACTACACATTTACGATGGAGTAAAATCCGTGCGTTTTAATTGCTCAGAAGTTGAGCTATCAACAGAATGGAATTCATTGTTCAGAATATGAAAACATAATATAACTGGCTCACGAACCACAAAAGTTACTCACCGCAATTAATTCATTAAAACTGCTGGTAAACTGTTCCTGCTCACTTAGTACTAGGCTAGGTCTAGACTAGGTCACAGCAAAGTTTGTGATATTGGGTAGAAAGCCTAGGTTCGACTTTTTTACAAAGGAACATGCTGCTTATTGTTTCTTCAGGTAGGTTTAGGTAAGTACTTACCTACATTTTAAAAACAAACAAATACAATGTTTCACGCCGTGATTTTAATTACAGAAAAAATATTTAATTAATAACAATAATATAAAAACTTAAGTATTTCACTGAAATGTATAACATAATCTATTTCAGAAATAAAAGGGAACTATATTATAAGGTAGATACTACAAGAAGGGATTATCTAGTAAGATAAATTACCGCGCACGATTGCATAATGAAGATCCTGAAAGAATACAAAAAACGTATTATAACTTTATTGATTTACTTTTTAAATACCTACCATCACTTTATAATATAAAACACAATAGTAAAAATATTATAAGCACGCTTGGATTCTAAAGGTCGTACAGCGCCATCTATGATTTTTTAGGAACACTATCGCTCCTTATGATTGGTGCACCTAAGCTCTCTTCATACGGGGCAAGTTGGAAGAACGAATGATAGTAAGTACATGTGGAGCGTTGTAGAACCCCATGTTTTCAATAATGATTAAAATAACAGCATTAAAAATACGATCAGCAGTGTGATGTGATTCTGTAACACTGATACAACGAAGCTCGAAAGAACTATTTCGAAAGTAAACACAATTGTACTCGGTTCCGTAATCTCGAGTCTCACTTCGCTTCGATAGTTTGTAATAATTTGTTAAAATTAAAAAAAAATGTAATTTGAATTTCGCGCCTTACGACGCCAACTCACGCTTGGCTGCTTGTAACTTTTTTTCTATCTTCCGCCTTTTTTAATGTCAATGTCTGTAAATCATCATAACGAGTACCGGTATAATAAAGATTTATTGTAATTAAACCAGTCAATACGCCTTTAACCCTTACTAATATTACAAATCTGAAAGTGAGTTTGTTTGTTTGTTCCACCTTCATGCCGTAACTACTCAACCCATTGCTTTGAATTTTCGCAGACGTAAAGTTAGAAGTCCGGATTAAATAATAGGGTACTTTAACCGAAAAAAAATGATATTCCCGAGGAAAAACAAAAGTATTGGTATAGATGGCGCTGTGTGTATTGGTATATGTCACATAGGCTACTTTGTATTATTTTGTGACGCGAGCGAAGCCGCGGCTAAAAGCTAGTTTAACATAATTATTTGTTACAGAATCACACTACCGTTTAGTGCAGATGAGAATTTAATTTTAAGACTTAACGAAGTAGCTCTCATTAGCAGATATTTGTAGTAAAACATAATTCAAGTTTCGAAATCCCGAACAGAGGGCAATTAAATCCTCATTTAGATGCATTTGACAAGCTCTATGTTTGTGATATGTATGAAAAAAAAGTACTGCGTAACTATTAAACTAGTCGGAAGACTCTTCAATGCAACCATTAAAATTTGACTCTAAAAAGTCGGTGAATTCAAAAGTTTCAAGTGTTCGCGTGGCCCCTCTTCATTTAAAGCACCGCGAGGGTCCCCCTAACGAAATGTGTGTGAACTATTTTCCACAACTGGCTGATCAACGTTTTATTTTCAAAGTCAAAGTCAAAGCGTTTATTTAAATTAACCCAAAATTTGGTACTTATGAAACGTCAACAAATACAAAATAATTAATAGCCTGCCAGTCAGTCCGTCAGTGAAGCTAGGTGAAGGTAGGTGCTAATTCTAAAATGTAGATTCGAATGGAGAAGAACGAGCAAGAAACTCCATTCGTTACTCTTTTTAGCTCTTATGTAGACTTAAATGAAAAGATTCTCAATATTTTGCAGTTGTATAACTTGTATTAATTATTATGGACAAGCTTGTAGTTGAACATTGGACAAAATTCCAATATTTCTGCCGTCATTCCTTTCAATTCAATGCCTTCAGATAAGAATTTAACGAGGAAACCAAGAAAATTGTAAATAAAATAGTTCACAAAAAGATAACGAAACCACCACAACAAAGAACTGAGAGTAAACTGCAATAAAAAAATTCAAGTATCATCAATTAAATGCTCTGAAACAAATTATCCATTAAAACGAACTCTGAAAAAATAAGAACACGTCTGCATAAACCTGAAAACATTTCCTTTTACTTAACTACTTATAAACAAGGAGATTGACTAAAAGAATTAAAAAAAACAAACAGTTATGCTCGAAAAATGTAAACAAAAGTCCTTGGATTCATTTTTCGAGAGAATTTCATGAAACATTTAATTGCAACCCGCAACATGGGGTTGCAATATTGAACGTAAATGCCTTTTCAGCAAACTTGATGCCGTAGCTTCGCAACCGACTGACGCGCAACGTGTCGTGAGGTAGATTAAAAAACAACAATGCTTTTTATGGTTCACCAATCGTTATTCCGAGCCTAAAGGTGGAAACATATATACGTGTTGTAGCCACCGCATCGGCCCAAACGGGTACAAGAATTTGAATCACGATATTACAAGACAAGTGGGTAACTAGGTATGTCTCTAACTAATTTAACTATGATTAAAACCAATATGGATGCGCGTTGCGACACTACACTTATATATATTCCCGCCTATAGAGTCAACGATGTGTGTAGATTTTTTTATTTCTAGGCCCACTATACTGCAGCTGTAGCCAAATACATTTTAGCGCTTGTCTACATGTAGAATAGAAAACCAAATTATATGGGATTGACGTAAATTTTGACACTTGTCAGTGTCATACCCATACATTTTGATTTCTACTCTCTCTGTAGACAAGCGCTAAGGTGGCATTTGGCTAAAGGCATTGGAGACAATCCCAATACGGAATACCCACACAATTAAATAAAAGATAAACAATAATAAAGATCGGACTACTAAATATATATTCAAAATCAGTTACTCGTTTAAGTATTCTGTGTTCCTAGAATTCCAGGAAAATGCGCCACGATACACTGCGATTCAACCGTAACTGATGTTCTTTGTTCTACCAATAGCATTTACATCGAACAATTTATCCAATTTTCATCGAGGATTACAATACTCAATACACGTTACGAAAGCATCATTCAATTTTGATATGAAATCCTCTACGTTTTCTGGTTGATGTTTGGGAACTTTATTTTATTGTTATCTTTAAATAAAATACTGAATGGATATACAATGTTATTTTAAATAGTTATGTACCTATTTGATTTTTAAATGGACAGAATAACTTTATTGAATAGTTCGGAGTTGATTTTAGCTTTGGATAAGTAAGTATACCTAATAATAAATTTCTACTTCTAGTGACGACCATATCGAATATGAAGTCTTTCTAGTCAAGTCTCTAGTCTATCACCAATTCACAATCCATACCGACAATTAATATAGTGTTAGAAGATTATGAATAAAGTGAAGATACCGACCCATAGACAAGTAGAGCGGCGAATGAAAAATCGGTTGGGTGTGGAGCGACATGTCAAACGCGTTTTTGACAACTCGGATTTTGGGGGGAAAAACAGACAGAGAAAATTGGTGCTTGAAGGGAATCGGACGGGTTTTTATTTTTAAGTCAATTTGCATAATTCTGTTCTTAGTTAGGCATATTTCTAATCAGTAATGTTTTCCTCCTCATCTCATATTAATGTTCAGTATAATTGATTCTCGCATTATAATATAATCGTTGTAACTTTTTGGTTGTTGCCGGTTTTATTTTCCCATCCTTTTTGGTTCCTAAAATCAGAAGTGGGATTCGATAACTTTTCATGGAAATTATTTCGCTTTCCATTCCTGAAATATTAGGCAATTTGACTTTTAAATTAATCGGGTAATGGTTTTCTATTCTCTTGCGTCACGTAAGTACTTAGTAGGTAGTCTGAGAGATGTAATGGTAAGTCTATACCTATGAGTCCCCTGACTAGAAGTTTGGTGAGTATGTTCCAATCTTCAGTAACAACTGCTTCTAATTTGTGTGATCGTTAGTTACTACTAATTACGAATTTAAACTATTGTCTTGGGATTAGGAAAGTTTGCTGTTCAACTGAAAGTAAAGATTTTTTTTTATTATTATTATTCACATTTGTCTGTGTTTTACTGTTAACGATTGTATAGACAATGCCTAAGCAAGGTCGTAAAAGCAGGAGTCGCCGTAGGAATCACAGCCCACGTTCACGAAAAAGGGCTGCGAGCTCATGTGATAGTCATTCCAGTCTTAGGAGCCTAAAGTCACACACCAAGCGAATTTCGAATAGATATGATTCTGATAACTATGTACTAATTGAACAGATGCAGCGAATCACGGAACGTTTGGCGGCACTAGAAGAACAACGCCGCTCGTTGCCGTCACGGTTACGTGAGCCCAGCACTGACGTGCCTATGCGGACTCCCTCACGGCCTCAATCGCTGGCGGCGTCGCTAGCTGAGCGTCGGAGGTTGGTGGCAGAAGTTGGAGGTTCTGCTGCGTCTGCCGTGCTGTCGTCTCCGCCTACGCCGAGGTGTCCTGTGAGTGCCGTCACAGACCATGATGCCAGCGTGACTGATCGGATTGTCGACGCAATACGTTCAATTAACACCACGGTGAGAGCTAACCAATCATATTATATATCTAACTTTGACCCAAGTATCAACGATATGGATACTTGGTGTGAGGAAGTTGACCGTGCCAAGGTTTTAAATTATTGGAGTGACAACGAGTGCCTATCTCGTGTTGGCAACTGTTTGAAAGGCGATGGGTTACTAATGATCGCAGTTGGAGTAATTTTAAAAAAGAGTTCAAACCTTTGTGCCCTCGAAAACCAGATATAGCAAATATTTTGTATGAGGTCATGAGTACGAACTCAGATAAATACTCAACATACGCTGATTATACTCGCCGATCCTTATTGAAACTACGTATAATTAAGGGGTTAAGTGATGAGCTAGTCTCAGCAATAGTTATACGGGGTATCACGGATCCACAAATACGTGCTTCAGCTACCAATGCGAAATTAATGCCACATAACTTGGTAGAATATTTTTCTATATACGTTAAATCAAACTCATTAACTTATAGTAAGAAAGTCAGTAATAACATGCATGTCTCTAAATCAAACCTTGATATTAGTCTTCGCAAACGTAGATTTGAGGAAGGTAAATGTTTTTCATGTGGTCAACGTGGCCACACTCAGTCCCATTGTCAAAAGAAGTTTAAAAGTGTTCCTAATCAAAATAACAATGAACAAAGTAAGAAAGATAGTTCTGCTCAGAATTCAAGTAGATATATTACATGTGATTTTTGTAAAAAAACCGGGTCATAAAATGGAAACTTGTTTTGCTAAAGCTAAATCCATCACTTATAACACAAATAATGTTAACTTCT